TGATGGGGTTTGGGAGAAAAAGTGTATGTTCTGACTGACCTGGGATTCTATCTTTTCTGCTTTTCTTTTAGCGTTGGAATACATAGGGAAACAATGGTAAAACATGTGGTTGAATTGAATGAAACTGATGAATGTCATGGGAAAGTCCTGTGTGTCCCCTGTTTGTGTGGTGTGGTGCTTGGGAAAGTATGTGAACTAATCAGTTGCAAGCTCTCTTTCACTCAGCTTGGAAACCCTTTCTGCTAACTCGATGTCAGGCTGAAGAGAAAGGGAAGTCCTGTACTCCAGTAAAGTGTGTGCCTCGTGAGTAAGTGGCTAGCTGGCTGCTGCCTCTCCAGAAAAGCTTTGGCTGTGAGCATTTAGAAAGAGAGGAGACCCTGCAAGGACAGCTATCTGTTTCTGTTATCTTGGCTTCAGCTTTTTTCCTGTTGCTTCTCCTGTGTGCCTACTCTCCTCATAAGCTCAAGCCCCCCTTGGACTCTGCAAAGTTTTCCCACACCACGCCTGTGTTCTGCCTGCTAGTTGCAAGACCAGGACCAGAGAGGGAGAAGGATGGAGTGCTTCCAAAGAACACCAATGGGAGCTGAACCACCAAGATTTCTACAGGACTTTTACACTGTGCATTACAGTTTACCGAGACTTGCTGCTTGCTTTGCAAGTCTCCCATCAACTGCTCTGAGTTTGCACCAAGATTTCACTGAGTGTCTATTTCTACATGTGCAAAGTGTAAATGCTGTGAGATTGGGACTTACCTTTGCACTTTTGGGATTACAAATTGAAATCTGTTGAATTACTATAATCTGGAAACTACAACTTTGTTTCCAGTGGCTACAGCTGTGTTGCATGGACTAACTGCATTGGCTGGACTGTTATCCCAGTGGCTAACCATGTGCTACTCATTAAAGGAGTCTCCCCCTTCCACCTATCAAAGAACAAAGGCAAAAGGTGAAGAAGAAATCACTCCCAGTGCTGGGTCTGCTGCCTGCTCCTGCGCAGATGAAACTGAGGGTTTGTAGGATTACTGGATTTGGTTTATATATCAACACTGCAAACCCTTGTACCCCAAGGTCATAGAAAGGTGACAAAAGGAGATGCTATTATCTTGGATTACAGCACCCCAGATAGGCTTCCAAGTTATAGCCGGGATTGCTTTGTGTGCTTAACTCTAAGGAAGCTGTACTCTGGAGTGGCCCTCCTTCACTTTGACTTCTTAGAAAACCCCTTGCTTTGATTACAGCAAAGGGACCTATTGTTTTAAGAATACCATTGCCACGTTGTATATACAATGCAGGAAACATCTATAATGTTTAAATATAGAGTTGCTTTCCATGATCTCACTGCCACTAAAAGTAAGTGAAAAAGAACACCAAAGTATGAATAAAGCATGGCCCTTAAATGATCAACCAAATGCACTGAAACTGACATTGGTATAGTAACAAACAAGCATGAAATTTTACCCAAAACCATAGGTATTGCACAAAGTATAGAAGCTAGTTTAAAACATAAGTCGTCGTGTATATCCAATTGTTCTTTCGGCTTTGTTTTCTTATGCTTCTATTTAGGTTTATATATAATGTTGGTGTACATTCTGCTATTCTTTCTGTTCTACTCAATACAGACACTGCTATCACAATGCTCATTGCCCCTTTTGATTGCTTATCCATCTGGAACCCCTCCACCATGTTGCTCATCTGAAGGGGAGGGAAAGAAATGGGGGAATGTGGTGGTAAAAGGTACCTCCCCTGTACACATGTAAGTTTCATTCACTACCTGTGAGATGCCTCACCAAACATATGAACTGCTTAAAGTGCCCTTGTAAGAAAACATTCACAGCCAGTTGAACTGACCCTGAGTGGGGACATGGAGAAGACTCAGTCTGGAACCTGTGGAACTGACCGTATCTCAAAGATAAGATGGCTAGCATGCTGACCTAGCAGGAAAGGATAAATAAGGTCACAGGGATGGGTTTATCTAAAATATTCCAACATTGTGCTGTAATTTCCACTCTGTCCACCATTTTGTTTTGGCTTTGGCTTTCTTTGCTTTGCAGTGTAATGGGCAAAGTATGTAAGCCCTGGTTCTGCTTCTGATCAGGGCTGCTCAGCAAAGTATCAAAGTCCAGTGTATACTGTATTATGACTTGTATGCATGCAAATAAAATGACGTTGCATTTTGAAAGTGATTTGGTTGCTTTAGGTGAGCCAGGTTTTGGGCACAACAGGGGTAAGAGGAAGAGGCAGTTGCACTGGGAAGGGAAGGGAAGGGAAAAGGGAACAAAACTGGATGGAGGAGAAAAGTCACCTGGACAGAGAAAGAAAGAGAGAAATTCACCAGGCAAACAGCTTGTCCTAAGCATCAACTTATCTTTAGCCTCATCTTCAAACGCATCCATGCTTTTCAACAGTGGGTCTGCAGTCACTGGCACAGCATGCCAATTCTTTAGTATTCAAGAGTCTCTATTCCTCTAAGCAATGTAGATGACCCTCTCAATTCCCTGGTAATTATTTGAGATTGGAGAGGAGGTGGTAATTCATCTAAATAATGAAACATTAGCTACTCTGCTTTAAAAATGGCATTCCTAATATACATAGTGAATAGCCTATGATTCCCTCCTCATTACACCGTAGAGAGAAATGTATTTGGATGACAAATGAGAAGGATCCAGTCCAAATGGATGAATTAGCCCAAGTAGGTGATGTGACAACAGGATGAACTGACAGTCTCCTTAATTTTAGTCTCACAACACAGATAAAAACCGCCTTACTATGAGGAGAGTAGGTGGTCCAAGTAGACGGAGATGGTGACAATTCACCTTATTTTTCCTGTTCCCAAGACAGGTTGCAAGGAAGGGGGTGGGCCTTGAGCAAAAATGCCCTTAGGGAAGTATCTTCCACTGAGTAGATCCTCATCCGTGTACTGCCATCACCATTCATACAATTTCCTTCCTCTTTGGGTTTTATTTTCTCCACTGGTCCCTCCAAATGCAGGGGACTTCCTCTCAGATTTAATTCTGACATGCTATGTAGTTACAACCTCCTACAAAAAAGTTAGGATGCTTGTAAATGATGACAAGGATGTACTATAGAGTCTGATAATATATATTACATTATTAGTTGCTCTGTCAATTTTTTATTCAAACTATCATTTTTGTATTCATATTTCACTGGGCTGCTATTATTGCTCTTTTATTCAAGGGACAATTTTATGGCATTGCACCGTCTGGATAGACTTTCTTTTATATTCTAATTAGGTCATTCAAAGTCACAAATATTTTCTTAATGGCCATGCTTTGGACTTAATGTCCATATATTCAGCAACACTTGTACCACTTATGGCACTTTTCTCAGAACAAATGTTCTAGTGACACGTGCACCTTGAATTAAGGTCTAGCTGGCCCAACCCAGTCATAATGTTAGGTTGGATTGGACAGAGATTACAGAGGTTGGACTCCAGCTTCTCTGAGGGGCATCAGACTGGAGAAGCCTATTTTCCTAGGCATGAACAAAGGCTGCATGTTATATTTGATCATTCTGCCACAGCTTATACAAGGATATATACTTTTAAAATTCCCAGATAAATGGGGGATATTATTTCACAAGTCTTTGTTAAAGAGACTTGGGTTCTCCAATGTGGGAGATTCTTACTTTCAGTACAAGGTCTCTAAGTACAGAGCAATATTTTTTCAATGATAGTCTTGAGTTCTACTGGTTAGGGATGAATTAATTTGTAGAATCATAAGTGGGGATCCAAGATGCAAAAACAACAGACACACATAGTGACCTTTCATGTATTGTTAGAGATTAATTAATAGAAGGACTGCAATGGCAGAATATAGGATGACAATTTATTTTCATCTGTGTTCAGGGGATCCTGTTCAACAGGATCCCCTCACTGGCCATGATTTCTTATCACTTTACACAAGCCGTTCAGGAGAATGTTAAGGCTTGAAGCTTTACCATGCTTTCAGAGCCCAGAGTTTAAATATGACCTCAAACCCATTTTTCCTGACCCCAGAGCACCGTAGAACTGAAATTGGCAGCAAAATGGCAATTTTCAGCAGGAATATTTTAGGTTTTTTTTTAATGTCTATTAAGTCTCTTCTAGGCTTCGCACACCTGTTTTGAGTTATAAAAAATAACCTCAGATTCTCCACCACCACAAAAAAAATCAGAAATGGGTACCCCTCTAATGATGTCCCTATCACATCCCTGAGACCTTAACAACATTCAAAAAGCAAAGCATGGTCTGTGGCCATTAATAGATTCCCCATTGCTGCCTTTCAGAATTTTCAGTGGAACCCACAGCACCTACATCAGTAAGACTTTCTACCTATCAGACAACAGGAGAGAGATAACTGCTTTAGTGATTTTGGAAAAGCAACTGTTGGCAAAACTGCCAAAATCTGAAAGAGTAAGACACTAGCATTCTTTCAGCTCTCTGGCAACAGCATAGACAAACTGAAACAGAGTGCTCTTGTTGCTGAAGTGTGAGGAGAAGGATATAATTTCAACAAGACACTCTCTTGATGTGCCACTTTATGGTTCCTGACAAACCATATTTATTTTGAGGTCAGACAGAAAGCAACCTAAGCCAGATCGTCTACTAGATGAGAGGGAAACAACTAGTGTGAAGTATAGCAACTCTTCATTCACCACTAGGAAACTAACTTTCCTCACACCTGTCACACCCCTAAATAATTTAGATCATCCACTATCAAACTCCCAGAAAGAAGTATTTATAACCTGGCTCTCCAATGTTCCCAGTTTGCTGTGTGACATGGTAACCATTTTGTGAGTGTCCTCTAAGTTGCTTTCAAAAGTTCAAATGTGCTCAACAGCACAAAAACATTTGGAACCCCTGATGAACAATACAGTCAAAGAAAAAGCATAAATATAATAATAATAATTGAAACCTATTGGGGGGAAAAAAACAGTAGATACCAACAGAGGTAAATCATAAAAATGAAAGTATTTTGGGTCAAGTGCTCAGAATCAACCTACCTGGCTTGTTGCCTTCTCTCTCATGACCAAGTTGCCCTTTGGTGTTCACACCGCATGTGTAGACTTCCCCATCTTCCAACAAGAACACAGAATGGTTTTCCCCACAAGCCACTTCCTTGACACTCCTCTCATGAATGAATCCACTGGTTCGAGGTTCAGGGATGACTGCCTGTAAAGTACTACCTGATCCAGGAAATCCGAAAGACCAATATCCCCAACATAACATCTTCTCTCCTTTAGCAAGGCATGGAGCTTGAATTTTTCCTGTGGGAGAAAGTAGAAGAAATCTCTCAAAAACATTGGGATCATCTGAAAACCAGACAAAGGCAACAGAAAGTGGTATCAGCTTTTTTTAATGCTATTTTATATCAGAAAATAACATATTCAGAGGGCAAAAACCACAATTCTGCTTGGTAGCTCAGTTTCATGAAACAGATATCCAAAAGCTTAAAACTGCATGCCTTTTCCTGACAAATGAAGCTTGTAAATATAAGCATTTTAATATGTGGAGTGATGCTTTGGGAGCAGATTTCTCACACTTGGTGACCTCCAGAATTGTTTTCCTACAATCCCCAGCCAGCACAGAATTTTGACTCAGGTTTCAACAATGCAAGGGCAACTGTCCAGCAACTACACCATGGGTGAACAGCTTGGGAGCCGGTGCCCCCAGAAAGGGTTCTCTGCAGCCCCTGGAGCCCAAGGCCCTTCTCCATTTGCCACCAATGTTCAACAATGCAAAAAGTGGTAATTTTCTTCAGTGGCAGATATTTGGCTCACCAAAGCCTACTGCTGCCACGTGCCACTCAAACCACTCCACCCTACCTCTCTTTTGGCCACGACCTGCCTTCCCTTTTCTTATGGTTGCCATTCCTGCCACCACATCCTATCTGTTCCCACAGCTCCAACTGATTCTCCTTTAGGGTTAACACACCTCAGTTGCAAAACCCTAGTTAGCTACTAGATGGTGGTGCCGACATTGTGTAAATAACTCTTTGCTGTCATCTAGCGGTTGTCCAGATTTTTCCAGCCTCTGATATGGTTGTCACATTATGTGTAGCAGGTTAAAATGAATTTCCCAGATCACATTTTCCCTGCTACTGTTAGTTGCTGTTCAGTCTTCTCCTCTAACTAAAAGTACTGCAAATGCCAAATATGGTGATTTTTGTTAAATAATACTAATAATTATTGTTTCCTGTACTGGAGCGGCTAGAAATTGAAGAATGATGAATAAATTAAAAGTATTTTTAGTTTATGAATACCTGCAAGAGGGAATAAGGGGATATAATAAAAAGTATCCAGAGTAAATGCAAAGTTAGGGAATATATGAATGCTGAAGAATGGTGCATGATGTTGAGTGACGCAATGCCCAGAGTGCCATGTTCCCTACTCCCACTTTCGATGAACTATGGTACAAAACTGAAGGAACTGAAACAAACGTTCAAGCACCAAATACATGTGGATCTTACCCAGAGTGAGTAACACAACACATGTTTCCAATGAGGTTCTTTTCAAAGACCACACAAGTCTGGGATCCTTCATGAAATACCTCTGAAAGGCCATTTTTACAGCACCCTTGGGTTACCTTGTTATTTTGTATTTAGTTCTTTCTCCAGGAGTGTCTTTGCCAGATCACTTGCCCAATGTGGGAACAGCAACGAAAAATAGAGATTTTATTTCTTGTTCTGATTCTTGAGAAAGAGCACCAGCACCAGTTCTGTTGAAATCTCAAGTTCTCACCACCTGAAAGGATGGCTTCTGCTTACACAGAGTATCTGCTCGTCATTACTGGCCAACCACAAATTTCTCTTATTATTTCCTTCCTTGCACCAACAGCAGCAATAGCTGAATGTGCTGAACTATATTAGCTGTAAAACAATGAAGAGTGGTATTATTCTACCCTGTTATGCCTACCCTCAAAGAAAAGAGATCTGTTGTTATATGTTGATCTTCAAGTCATGCTTAATTACTCCATGCTGGGAATAATACATTATATAAGTTGATGCAATAGCATACAGTACATATTGCTAGAGCGCTCGTCCCTTTCTCTTTTCTGAAAATTAAAACCCGCTGTTCAAAACAAAGTAGAGCTGCGCAGTACTTCAAATTCAATTAGGAAGAAGGGCTTTGAAAAACACAAAGTAGTATACAACTATGTCTTTTCCAGCTGTAGCTGTTTTAATGAGTTTCAGACGAGTGCTACATTTATGCTCCCATGCGTTCTGAAAAACCTCTTCCTTTCCTTCTGGCTCATCCCAAATTAAATCCTATACCAGTCTAGCCACTCCGTGCATCTGGTGAAGTGAGTTGCAGCTCACAAAAGCTTAAGCCTTTTAATAATTTTTTTAAGCCGGAAAAGGTGCTACCAGATTCCTCCTGATCTCTTCCAAACTGAATCTAAAGCCTCAATTCTAACCAAATTTGAAGCACTGCACAGTCGTAAGGGGAAAACATTTCTAACACGGTTCTTGCCAGCTGGCGAAGCAACCATCGGAGCAAATAAGTCTCAGCATTGCTGTTCGTTGGACATTAATGCCAGAACAAATTTGTTTCTCTAGACATTGCCTTTGTTGGGAAATTTATTGCTTGCTCATTCCGCCAGAAGCTGTGCAAGAAAAAGCATTGCACATCCTCATATTTTATGACAACTCTTTCAGTTGAGAGCATCCCATAAAATTAGAATGAGATAAAATTAGGTATCCATAGTGTAGCAACCCAATTAATAGTTCAATCCACGTGAAACTGTTCCTGTGGGGGGGGGGGGGGGACCTTGTGTATAGGTGGGATTGTGTGTTCAGTGCTGAAGAGCCATCCTGAGATCTCTTGAGTACAGCTTGCTACAGACTGAAGCTGGCTGGGAAATCTGTGGCTCCAAAACAGAAGACAGTGTTGGGAAAAACTGTGCTAGCATTCTTCTGCCTATACAAAATAACCAGTGTGCCAGGCTCTTGTTTACTAGGAAGGAAAAATTCAGAGCAGGTCTGTGCCTTAAAGAGATGACTAAAAAGTTCCTATTACTTTTATAGTACAAGAAAAATGTGTAAACTGTTTCAAAAGCTACAACTACCTTTGACTCAATTCATACAAAGCTGCTAACAATCATTGTTGGGGGGTTTTTGGTGCCTTCGAATCAGTCTTGACTCCTGGTGACTTCCTGGACAAGTTCCTGCAGTTTTCTTTGCAAGGTTTTTTTTTTTTAAGTAGCTTGCCATTGCCTCTTTCCTAGGGCTGAGAGAAAGGGACTGGCCCAAGGTCACCCAGCTGGCTTTGTGCCTAAGGCAGGACTAGAACTCAGAGTTTCCTGATTTCTAGCCTGGTGTCTTAACCACTACACCAAACTGGCTCTCATAATAATTGTTTAATCATGGGGGGGGGGGGTTTCCCAAAAGGGTTGCAAGCAAAGACTGAAAGTATTGTTTTCTCTAAAATTACCATCAATTTGTGTTACAATTCACTGAACAAGCCAGGATGAAGAACACATTTATATTCTGTAGAAAAGGCAGAATATCAGTCAGATAAATAAATACATGAAAACTTCTTTGAACAAACCACAAGGGAAATCCACACCGTCATCTATAAATGAAATGAATGTGAAGAGTCCTCCTTTCAGCCTATCCATGACTCTATCACAGATCCCTACTGTGCTCCCACCATCAGGGAAAAAGGCTCTTTGCACATGTGATTACAGGCCTACAGAGGACAAGTCAAGTTTCATCATAGGTTATTGCAAGATATGTGTCCATAGCATACTTCCTTTCCAGGTTCAGGCAAAAGAACAGGCAGGCAGGCAGGCAGACAGACAGAGAGACAGAGGCTACCAATCTCTTACTTTCATTTGCACTGGAGTAGGATTGGGAACTGCATGAGCCTAAACATTATGGTTTATGGCAGGCTTCCCCAGCCAGACAGGCACATTTCAATCCCTAGCAGGCACAGACTGTAAATTGTGGGTATTAAAGTTCACACATTTGGAGTGTGGCCAGAGCAGGTACATTTATGGAGCATGTGCATTTCCCAGCCAAGGGTATTTCCAGATACAGTAATGTTTGTATAATGCAATCACTGCACCTCCCTCGTGGAATTTTATAAAAACTCCAGACTGTATTGTCTTCCAGTAGAACATACTTTTCTACCAATTCTTCCGACTTTTTTTTTCTAATCACCAGAAAATCCCTTACAGAAGGAAAAAGGAACAGCTGTACAATGTCTTTCAACTGATAATGTCAGGAACTCTCCATCTGGAAATACCTCAAGGCTAATATTCACTCCATGCAAACATTAAAATCATGGCAATAGAGTATGGGAGAAGAGTGCACTAAAAGTCATAAGGTTTGCACATCCCCAAAGAAGCGTGAAGTCGAGGGTTCTTTACTGTACTGCATTCCGCTACTAACTCCTTTGGCTGCATCCCATTCACTGACATACAGAGGGAGAAATCAGAGGACAGGTCTGTGTATACCATCAGGACCACCATTACCAACATACATTGCAAGCGGAAATACATACTGTACTGTACTCACAGAAACACACAAAAGCAAGCTCCAATTCATGGAAGTGGCATGTGCACATAGAGAGGTGGGTTTGTGCTCATGTCTTGCTCTTTTTTTTTTTCACCGAAAGCTAGATACTTGATGCTTTTTTCATTCCTTCAGAGCCAGCCAGAAAGTATGCCACTCTTTCAAGGAGACGGGATGTAGCTGCCTTTCATGGCAATGCTCCAAGGTGCATTTAAACTTCCTGCCTGCCCATTCCCTCCCATTTTTGAAAGAAGCAGGACCCAACACCATAGCCTTGCCCATCCTAGCTTTGCATCCGAGAGGTGATCTGCACACTCAGAAGCATGCGTCACAGAGATGAGGTCATCACCAACTCCTGGAAACTGGCTGCTGGGAAGGAGACAAGGAAACACCTCCCAGGTTTTACCAGCCAGTCTAGATGGTGAGAGAGGGGAGTTACTTTCAGCAGCCTCTCAGCACTACCACTTCCACCGGGCACAAAGCCGAGACAAGTAGCCTATGGACGGGAAAGAATCCAGTCCTGTTGGCACAGCTCTTCAGGATTCATGGTGCCCCCGTGGGCTCTGCTTTCCGAGACAAGGTTGCATGTGCCAAGCTGCCACCCCCCTCCCCCTAGAATGAGTCTGCAGGCCCTAGAAGCAAGCCATACAACACCGGCTCCTCTCGCTCAGTGCTCCCCCATTATCCCAGGGTTTTGTTTCTTTAAAAAAAGTCAGCTGATATCTGCAATGTATTTGAGGAGTAAATAAACAG